TTTTTTTATTTTTTTTTAAGCAACAAAATGAGATTTAGATCTCTTAAAGCAATCTGACTACCACTATTCATTTTCTTTATCAGGAATATTACTGCACACCCTTAATAGGGAACCTTGTTTTGCTACTCCCCGTCTGTTCAAAACAGACCTTAGCCCATTAGAAGGTCCTCCCTTGTGTGGGAAGACCACAGCTGTTACTGTAAATCTCATCCAGTAACTGTATCACCCCCATTTTGTGGCTCTGAAGGATGAAATTGAGAAATGGAATACTGTGCAGTCATCCTTTACATCTCCAATTTTAGGCCTTTGCACATCATTTTCATGCTTTTATTCCAAATCAAACAACATTAGTGAGCAACACCACCCTGTGCTAAATGGCTGGTGTCTCAGGCAGCACCTACGATCTTTGTTTTTGGAGGATTTAGGATTTGGAGGGAAGTTGGGGGTTTGTTGATGGTGGATTTAAAATTTTTTTTTTTTAATTCCCTCTTTTCCCTCCCTCTTCCCCACCAGATCTTTCCCAGTCCCCAGAATTTGTTGGAAGCAGAAATCCAGATGGTAGCGAGGTGCCTAAGATGGAGGATGCTCTGTTATGCCTCCACAGAGGAAACAAGAGCTCAGCCCAGTTAACAAACACAACTTTAAAAAGGTTTCTGTTTCTTTAAATCCTTCTGAATGAAGTGGATCTAACTTCTTATGAAGGATATTGGGGGCTTTAATCAGAAATAAGAAGTGGTTTAAATCATTAGCACAACAAAGCAAACTATAAGCTTGAAGATAAAAGTCTCAGGCGAAAGAGTCCTCTGAAAATAAATGGGACTTGATAGATTTCCATATCATTTATAACTTCCCTTAATTACACTTGGAAGACTTGCCAGTAAAACTGGAAAATTGGCAGCCTATATCCATTATAGTAATTTTGCCGACCATGGCAAGCAGCTGGCTTTACTGGATTTTATTTCCCATCACTCACAATTAATCATCAGCTGGAGATGTCTGAAACTCCTCAAAACGTAGCAATGCTGTGTGACATTCAGGCCTCCTTAAAATGCTAAATTCTGCTGAGTAAATGGGCCGAGTTCCCCTTCCAGCGAACTCATTTTGGTGCGAGGCAGGCTGCCGGTTAATGAGTGCCACTTCGATAATCGGATGCGAATGTGAACCCTGACCTCATGTCAAAGGAGAGGACGCAGCAAGCTGGATAAAAGATAAGGGGATTCAGATCTGCAAACTTTACACCAATTAGACAGAGAGCGAGGAAATACATCAGTGCCCACTGGGTTTATCAGAAAGACTTGTGGGGCTTGTGACCATTTTGTAAGCCTAACATTGAAGACGTCCTGTCACAATCATTAAGTCTTTATCAGATGACGCACAAAAGTCTGAGGAAAGTGCACCATATTCACAGAGATGCCGTGGTAGCAACGCCCTCGGATCGGCGCTGTCTTTTTGTGCCTCCGAGTTTGAGAGAGACCTGGCCGTAAGTGCGGTTAGTCTTTGTGGTCCTCCCGTAGGTGCAGTGAGAACAGCTTGGGGTTGCTGCTTCTCGGGTTCTGCTTCCATCCCGTGTCATGAGTTGCTTGGTCAGGAAATGACTGGAGACAGTTCCCTGTCCTGTGTGTAGCCTTTTGGCCAGAGGAGATAACAACCACTGCGCAGTCCCCAAATTGCTGCTGACTGTTCCCAAATTCACATCAGAATTTTTAGCGTCATCGAGATCTTAAGTACTCTTCAATTTTTTTTTCTTTTTTTCTTTTTTTTTTTTTTCCTTTTTCCTTTTCACTCTGTGGAGAACAGAACTGAACAGATACTTTGAACTGCACCATGCGGAAATAAACTACTAAAAATACAGCCTTTGAGTCTAACAGTTAATCACTTATTTATTTTGATATTCCAAGCAATGGTAAAAGGAGATTTTTCTGTAGTGTAACTCTGAAAGATACCCGAGTTTTATTTCTTTTTAGAAAAGGAGCACTTTTATTTTACTTGGTTCCAATCAATCAGATTTTTTGTTTGATTTTATTTGCCTCTTTTGACAGATTTGGGTCATCACTGAGACCTCTCTAAACTGAAATGTAAAGATGGTGGTTTACATTGGTTTGCCATCCACTGAAAGAAATAAATTATACGATAAAAACACAACATTAAAAATGGCCCAGATGGATCCTTAAACAAGTTAGAAAGCAAGAACTTGTACACATCACTGGGGTTTTCATTTGCGGGCTAAATAACAGGCAAAAGGATATGTGCAATTATGGAATGAAAGAAATTGGACAATGCTCAAAAGAGAAGAGAGAGATACAAGTGCCTAATTTTAGGATTTGTCACTTTGCAACACAATGAGTGGAGCTGTAAAGGTTTAACGTAAGACCAGCAATTAAACTTCTGTGCTTAAGTGACACTTTCACCAAGGTAATTTTCAACAAATTGCACATCATCAGAAGTACCGACACAGCATTTTCACACGGGGTGCATGAAGTGTCTCCTTCCTTCCAAATTAGTAAGACTTGGAGGTGTTAAATGGTTACTTTGTCTATGTATTTTGTGGATTATCCTTCCCAGATGCCACTTCATTTGACATCAACCTGGCAATTATTATATAAAACAAAAGCTTTATTTTTGGGAAAGAGGGGAAACTGAGGAGAAATTCAGATCCCTGGACCTTTCCACACCACAGCCCCTAATACTTCCTTGTACTTTACAGGTTTACTTAAGATCTACAGAGACAATTCTGTACTTTTCCTGTAGATGTATTTCCAGAACCCTGTTTAGATAATTGCTAACTGATCCATTTGCACAGCATCCACCTGATGAAGTCGTGTTACATTTTGGCAAACTGAATCACGCTGGGGGCCACTCAGTTTGGATCTGTGCTACTTAGTGTCTCCATCTTCAGAAACCTTTAGAGGCCCATGTTCCTGGCGCTCTGATAGCCGAGTTTAACCAGAGGATGGCAAATTTGTTTCAGAAATATGTTATAAGCAAACCTTCTCCAACAAACATTGTTGACTTTTTTATTTAAAAAAACCAAAACAACCAACAAACACAAAAACCCCAAGCAGAAGTGGATACTCATAGCTTCCTTTTAACCTCAGAAATGTCTGGAAAGTTCAGAGGAGATGGAAGAAAAGCTGAGCAGTGAGGTAGAAAGAAGAGGAGGAAAAGCAAAGAAGGAAAGAAAGAGTTTCTGGATCAAGGCTACAGGCAGAGCAGCAGGTGTGGAAGGGAGACAAAAGATGGGGAAATGGAATAGAAGAGAAATAACTGGGGACAAAGAGCAAGTCTTTGATATTATTCACTGAATTTGACACTTCTAATGACTTAAATGCTCACCTGAAGCTCGGGATGGAATTTCTGCAGGTGTAGTGTTGGGTGCTCATTATTGTCTGCATCCAGTTAGGGCATGATGTTCCCATAGCAAACATTTTCCTTATTTACCCTCTAAATAAGCCTGTTGGTGGGCTGTTGGAGAAATGGTGTGTAAGCACCTTTTAATGTAACATCTTTTCTTCTGTCTTGCTCAGAATCCATAGGCAGACATCAGTAATTCTCAGGCATTGCTTACAATGTACAGTTGACATTATCCAAGAGTAGCACTGGGAAATGCTGAACACTAGGGCACTCTTTAGGAAAAAAAACTTTATTTATATTTTCCGAATGTACTTCGTGCAGTGTGCATTTGATCCCTGACTTCACACCTGTCTGTTAGACAGTATATTCCTCCAAAGTGATACACGTTTGTCCTTAAATATCTATTATTAATTTTACATGTATTTAGAGAAATATATGTACGTATATAAACAAACACGTTTTGAGGGAACTAGTACATGTAACAATGTACTGCAGAGATCAGATCTCTGCAGGTCTCAGATTAATCTCTTTAAGGAAACTTTGACATCAGAGTGAAAGCATCCCAGATTTGCTGGGATAAAGAGTGGTTGGCAGAGTACCTCTGCAGAAGAGCCTAATGAAAAAGACTTGCAGTGGGCACTTGGAGCCAGGCATCCCAGAGGGGTGTGCCTGCATGAGTCCTAAATCCTGACACGTAGGGCCTAGCCCCCCTCCCCACATCATCTTCGTGGGATGACTGGCTGGTTGCTGGGTTACATGAGGGGTAAATTCTGAATCCTGTGTTTTCCCCCCATGTAGAGGCAGCCCCCCCAACCACTGTAAAGCCTCAAGCGCCTGTTCCCTCTGCGCAGTGTGGTCCAAGGTGTTGGAGGGAGGCTCTGACTGGGAGGCACAGGGAGCCCAGCAGAGCAGCCCAGTGGGTTACTGGTGACCTTGAGCTTGTGCAGGCTTGTTAGCAGAGTGCAAGCAAGCAGAAAGAGGAAACTTGAAGGTTTCCCTTTAAGAGCTCTCAGCTGTGGAGAAAATGATGGTTTTGCCTCCGCCATGCCTCCCTTGCAGATGTGGGGTGGTGGTTCCCCGCAGGTGTGTGCTCCCTTCCATCAGTCCAAAGGCATCAGCTGCCATCCAGGTACTGCCATGTGCAGAGATGTAACTCTCTCTTCAGCATCAGCCCATTGGGTATTGCCAGAGCTTCCAGCCCATGCTCCCTTAGACGCGTGCCAAGAAACTTTTGGCTTCTGCATCAGAATTAGTATCTGCAGGATCTGCGCCAGGTCAGCAAAGCAAAGGCCTCCCCGGCCAAAACTGCACAGATGAAATTTTGCTCTGGATTTAATGTCGAACTGTGATGGATGTGAAATGAGAACTACAGAAGTTGGAGCTGAATGGAGGGGATGGGAGAGGAGCCTTTCAGGTTTGTCTGGGGTGATAGCTTTAAGTAGGTGATTCCTTTTTCCCTGTCTTGCCGCTAGTTTGTCAAACTGCGATTTGTGATTGTGGTTTGTGTCATGACTGTAGCTGGCTGACTTGGGCCATGAAAGTCATCTTAGCATTTAATGAAATAATCCCTTTATTTTCCAGAAGAATCATACACACTTAGAGCATTTTAAATCCTCTATCCTCATTTTGTACTGCTTTAATTTTACCAGGTTTCAGAAGGTCAAGAGATTTGTGTAATTGAAGCAATGAAAATGCAGAACAGTATGATTGCTGCTAAAACAGGCAAGGTAAGCTACCTTGGGTCACCTAAAACCATATGGAACTTGTCAAATAGGATGGAATTTAAAAAGGAAAAAAGGAGGATTCTGGGTGTTAAGGAATTAAGTCTGATTGTTGTAAGTCTTTCAAAGTGAGGTGTCTTTAATTTTTAACATTTGCATCTGCTGTGAATGCTGTTAAGTAGTTCGGAGCCTTAGATAGCACAGCAGGAAATAGTTTTTCTAGCTTCAGAAATTCATATAACTCTTTTTCTCCTAAATGATTTGTTTTCTATGATGTTACAATGCCAAGTTGAATTGAAAGGTGTTGTAGGCTGTTTCGCCAAATTCCATCTTTCCAGAGAGCAACTGAAGAAGAGAGATCTCTTTGCCAGTTAATTCATTAATGGTAAACAATTTGACATTAAAAAACCCCCACTTGAAACGAAGCATAGAAAGTGCTTTTGTAGGAAGATGAGAAAAAAAATAAATTATTGTGACTGCTAAATACGAAGCTTTGATCTGCTAATGTCTTAAGCCTTGCAAGACTGTGCCTTGTGGTACCTTGCTCCTAGGGATCAGCGTTGCAGCCCCTAAGCTGGGACTCTGCTCCTGCAGTGCAGGATGTACCAAAAGCAGCACTCTGGGCAGGGAACTGGTTAAGTTTATATGACAAGGACATGCCTTAAACCTCATCTGGTCTGGGGACTGGCAGCCCCTAAATCAGGGCCTCAGAGCGTCCTTGTGCCAGATGGTAATTCAGTCTGAAACCATCATCGAGATGTGGGCCCCTGATCCATCTTTTTCAAAGGGAGAGCGGAGTCACTCGCTAGGAGTCACTGGTCAGAGTCCTCGGCAAAGATCCGGATTATATATTCTCATATATGCTAACGTGTCGGAGCCCTCCTCTGCCCGGGGACAGCCCCCTCTGCGCTCCCTGCAGCGCTGCCATGTTGCGTTATTAAAAAGAGCACCGCAAACAAACCCCAGTGCAAGATCCCGCAGCCCAGAGGGAGGCAGCAAGGAGCCAGGGCGGGGAGGAGGTTACCCGCTGCCAGGATTCGCCGAGGTCTCAAGGTGGGTCTCTGCGCCAAGGACTGTTTGTGTGTTTACAAGAAAGGCTTATTTGGCACAGCACTAAAATCGTCGCCGAGGCTGGGACCCAGGGCTTGCCTCTTCCAGTACATCTACTGCAAAACTGGGTCTTGAGGAAAAAAAATTGCAGAGAGAAAGAGAGAGAGAAAACATACCTTCCTTCTCCTGTTGCTCTAACATTGCCACTTTATTATCTTCTTTCATGCGTTAATTCCTATATAATTTATTTTTTCACTTGATTAATATTTGCTAGCATTTATTTTTTCATCCTTGCTACTTTTGTTTAACCACTTATTGCTGCTCTTTGCATCCAGTGATTTTAACTAGTGAGTATTTGTAATTAAAATGCCATTCCTCCTCCCACCCACTCCCTTTTTTTACTTTAACCTTCCCTTTCCCACCAAGGTGTGCTGCAACCTGTGGGCCTGTTCCTTAAAATCCTGCTTGCACTTCTCCCAATAATAAATGTTTTCCACTTGCTCTGCACAGATGCCACATAAACCCCATATTTGGCTTATGAACCCTTCAAAGTGGGATTTGAATGGCGCAGAGGCCATTTTGTGGGCCAGACATGCACCTTGCAGTGTCCCCTTGGCATCTCCATTTCAGTAGTAAGCAAATTATTTGGTTCTTTAGAATTTGAAAAAGCAAAAAAAGTTTTGGGCTGTGGGGAAATGAAGCTGCTGAGCAGAATTCATCCCGTTCTGCTGTGCAAAGTCATGGCTCTGAGTGCTAAAATTACTTGGTCCCTCCACAGGAATGGGATGTTTGGCACTGGCTGTTAGTCGGTGTTTTGATGCTTTGAAACCATGTTTTCAAACTCAGTTCGTTTGTCTTCAGCTGGAAGATGTTCCCATTCTCATTCCCAGCTGAATTCCTTTCCTGCATCAAACCCCATCTTCCTGTTTGTAATTGTGAGAAAAGTGTTTTTTTTCTTAATCTACTTTGAGTTTACTCTAGCTGTGGGTGGTTTAAAAATGAGGGAAAAATGGAGAGGAACTGGCGTGACTCCTGTCTCCTACGGGAGGGACAGCTGTGCCTGGGTCAGAACGGGGACCTGGCCCCGCTGTGTGTCAGAAATCACTGGGGAGTTTGAAACACGAGTCAGCTAGAATGTTTGCTGAACCTTGTCTTTGTAGAAAAAGAAAAGAAAGATGTAGAGTATTTTCCACACTGCCTTTCATCTCTTAAAAGATTGAGGCTCAGGAATCAGGTAGGCTGTGTAGCTATTGATTTAGAAATAAAGCCCTTTTTTGTGCACCTCACGGTGTCTTTGCCCATGTATGGTGTTCAGCGTCATTTCTCCAGCGATGCTGTGAATATGCCCGTGCTACCGTGCCGGGGTAACGCTTACAGCTCACGTGGCTTTCGACTGCCAGACTGGGACGTGGGCAGCAGCGTAGCCAGAGCAGCCGGGTATTTCTGGTGGGCTGCGGGTTTCCTTTAGGAGCCTGAGGAAACGTTTGGGTGACTAAACTGAGCAACTGCTGAACAAGGTTTTGACCAAGGATTTGGGCAGGTCGGCGAGAGCGCTGAACTAATAGTGCAAGCAAGCTCTAATGTACAGCTTCAAATATTTTCTGGAGCTCCATGTGCTGAAAGGGAATTCAGATGCATTGCAGCCTTTTATGGAGGAAGTGAGGGACTAGTAGGAGATGTTTGTGTTTTAAAATTCAGGAATCTGCACGTGAGTATATAATTCATCCACAGATGGAGCTGCATTTATTTGTCAGTGGTAGCCCTTTGCCAAGTTCAGTTATGTTCAAGAATCCCAATTCAGATTTGAATCAATCTATCCCAGCTGCAGTCTATCCATGGCTGCAGTCCCAAAATTCAGTTACACTTAAAATCTGTAATGCAAGAAATGCTGGAATATTTCATGGAAACGTCCAAATGTGAGAGTTGAAAAGTCAGCCTGTCCCCTGAAAGATTTAAAATTTTAGTAGTAAATGAATAGCAGTGCAAACAAGTGTAAGAAAGGTGGTTTTTAATTTTTTAAAATGCCACCTCCAACTGACATTGGAGTCATTAAGCCCCTAATTCATAAGAAAACCAGGTAGTGGTAGGTGCCTAAATACCTTGATGGAGTTGGACACAATTTGGTCAAGCACTGGAGCAGGCTGCTCAGAGCTGGTGGAGTCTCCATCTTCAGAGGTACTCAAAACTGAGCTGGACTCTGAACATTGGAAGTGGAGCTCTCAACCTCTTGAGGCCCTTCCAACATACAGGCACCTGTGATCCCTGTGGTGGTCATAACGTTGCAGAGTGTCCATTTACCCTGTGGCACGCAGATGTGATCCTCCTATATATGCAATGTCAGCCAAACAATTTATTTAACTGTGCTATTGAGGAAGATTTGAAATTATTTCTGTTTCTCTACTGTAGGTGAAAGCTGTGCACTGCAAAGCTGGTGATACTGTTGGAGAAGGAGACCTGCTGGTGGAACTGGAATGAAAGGGTGCCTTCACACTGCTGAATTAGCTATGCCTTTATTATTTCCGTCCGTTAAGTAAGATTAAGGCAGTTCAACACAGAAGATGGACAGTCCTATGCACAAGAATTTATACAGTCATATTTATTGTATCAGTGGTTAAGACAGCAAACACAGATGTTAAACCTTGGCAACAGATCCCAGATTTTTACTTCCAGAAATACTTGTACATAACCTTTGTAATTCTTTGATTTTTTCAGGATCAAATAAAATCAATAAAATACCATTTCTGATTTAAAACAGGAAAAGCCTCTTTTTTTTTTAAAAAAAAAAAAGGGAAGGAAAACACAACAAAAGCTTAAATCTGAGTCATCTTCATGTAATATCATTGGTTTGAGGCCTCAGCCCAAGTGTACAACAAAGTGGTTGTTAAGAGTGAAAAATTAACCACTGAGCAGTTTTCCTACTCTCTGTGCAAGTGCTGAACAAGTACTGTCGATGGCTTAAATTCTCTTCAAATTTACTGTGACATTTTGAGGCCTTTGCATAGCCTAGATTGAAATGACAGGTTAGGTGTTTTATTTTGCTCGTTAAGGCTTTCGCCAGGTATTGTCATTTACAGCTGTAAGGAAATTTCCTTTTTTTTTTAATTGAGACTCCATACTCAATTTCCCCCCCTCCTTTTTAGTTGATTACTGGATGCAGCTCCTTCCAGAGGGGCTGGCACTGTCCTTGGATCCCTGAGCTGTCCCAAGGTATTGCCAGAGGCACTGGCTGTCCCTTGGGCCAAGCCTCCTCCTGAACTCTGATGGGAAAGGTAGACCCAAGTGGCTGATTTTTTGTCGTGCAGAGGCTCTTCCTAAAGACTTGATGAAGATTGAGGACTGTTAATGATACAGGACTGTATCCTGCTGGAAGAGCTGTGTATGCCGTGTGGGAAACCAAAGAGGGCCAAAACCAAAGAGAGCAGGAAGATTTGAGAGATTTGAACAGGTGAGAGGGCTGCTGACTTCGCCAGAACAGGTAAAAGGATGGTTTGGGGTTTTTTTCCTCCTCACTTAGGAACTCAATGCCACAGGATGGTGTAAGTACCAGAAGTTTACTGTGTTAAAAATGATAGTGTGTGGTTAACAGGCTCTTTTTAAATTGATGTAGCTCAGTAAGTCAGCAGCTGCAGCTCACCAGACACTGTCCCTGCACACTCTCAGCACTATCTCTGTCCCTGGGCTCTTGCCCAGACGTCTGCTGCTGCCCACTGCTGGGCCAGGACATGGGGCTACTCCTACCTTCGGTCTCACCTCCTGCAGCTGTTTTTTTTTATACATACCTCTAAATCACTGTCTCTGGTGTGCTCTGACCACTGCTCTGGAGAGGAGAGGACTTGCTCTCATTTTCTTGCCTAGGATGTGCAGAGTCATGCTATTTCCCAGAAAAACCCTCTGGCCAGAGGCGCCTGGGCCCTTTACCAAGAGGGTGAAGGACAAAACCCAGACTGTGACACGGCTGGTGACTCACGTTCACCCAGAAAGCTTCATTCTGCTTGAAACTTTTGATTGAAGAGGCATTTTTCATGTTACTGAGAAGCTGCCAACTCAATCACACAGCCAAGATGGAATAACATAGTACAAGGATCTGCTTTGTTAATTAGTTTATAAAACCCATCAAGATGAGCAAGGACAGTGTTTGGGTAGTACCTGTCTTCCAGGAAAATTAATGCTTTTGGAGTCAGAGAAACTGAGCATGCACCCTACAGCTCTTCCTACACATCTCCTTAATGCCATCTTGCCCCTTCCAAAAGGAGCACAGTGCAGCTTCTGCAGGTTGCACTACTACGGGGTGGGGGGGAAAAACCCTTAAGTATGGTAAAGAGACACAACATCATGATTATTCTACTTTAAAATTAATTAATTTACCTACTGCGGCAACACCAGCTTTCTGTCTGTTTTTCTAAATGAGATGCAGCAGTGCCTGTTACTGGGAAGTTTAGGCTGATTCCTTACCCTGGGTCCCTACCCCAGATCTCCTCCGGCCATCACGGGGCTACTGGCAATGAAGCACACAAGTACAATATTGTTCTCAATGACATCCTTAGGATGTTTCATTGTACTTTGGCTCACTGCATGGCATACATTCCCTGCTCACATCCCTTTGGCAGCTTTCTATACTGTACAATCTATATGTAGCAAACACTGCATTTAAAAAGAAAGTATAAAGCACAGTAGTGTAACAACGGAAAGCCGCAATTTTCACAGATTGTACAGAAACCAGCACAGTTGGTTGGGTCAGGGGGACAATAATCTTCTTTACTTTTTTTTTTTTTTTTTTCCAGTTTAATGTTGCAATAATCATACTACAGGACCTTTGGATATATATATATTTATAATGTATATAAAAATCTTTCCCCCAATAAGAAATTCAGTTTGCATATGGTTGCAAGATCTGCATTAAAGTGCTTGTCTAAAAGTCACCTTGATTGTTAAGTGCTCACAACAGCTGCCTTTGCTGTAGCGTGGTGGACAGCTGAAATCAGGTTTGCTTTTCCTGGTCCCCAACATGCACCCCTACCTCCCCCCATCCCACAGTCACTCAGTGAACTGAAGTGGTACCTAAAGTGCTTAGAACGCTAAATTAAAAGTATGATTTTAAATGTAATTATTTTTTTAATATTTCTTCACAGTACCTTTTAAAACTAAACATGTTTTAAAAATACTCTTTTCCAGTTCAGAAAAACATTGCAACACAGAGTAAGAATAGTCTTTAAATTTTCTCTATTTCTCCAGCAATTTCATATTTGTCTTGAAGCGCATAGTATCTATATGGCCATCTCTCCATGTGTACATTCAGTAACCTACTAAACACCATTACAAGTCAATATTAAATGTGAGTTGTGCTTTACTTTGTTTGCAGACATGATTTTTTTTTTTTTAAATCTATTTCAGCTATTAGTGCAATAGTATCATTGTTCCACCCACCCTGGAGAACTACACAAGAAAATGTGCCAATTAAGGTAAAATAAAAAATCTGTTCCTCTGCCTTTCAGTGGCCTCAGCCATGCACTGAGGCGAAGAGGGGGGGATTGAGAAAATAAGTAGACCCCAAACCCATGTACACAGATACAGTGGTTTTATGCCTTGTGCAGTGGGGTTACTCGCAGTAGGTTAGTGGGGGCAACTCCCCATCTCTCTGTCTACTTCAAAACTAGCGCCAAGGCTCCCGGGTTGGGGAGGTTACAAGAGATCCCGCCGTGTTTTAACAGAAAGGTATTACAGCTTTCCTGGAAAGGTTACCGAGTGCCACCTGCTTAGTACTGCAGCTCCGGCCGGGCTGCGTTACCTCCCGTTTCTAATCCCGGCTTTCGCGTAGGACGTAGGCGAGGCCGTGTTTCCCTGAGGAGTCGTAACTGTCATGGTAGGGGAGCCCGACCCACTCGGGCGGGTACGTCATCGTGCTGTACACGAAGCACTCCACGATCCCCTCAGCATCCGCCCGCCTCTCGCCTGCGCTGCCCTTCCCTTCCCACTCCATCACCTCGATTCTCATCAGGGTGCGCTGGTACATGTCTGGGCAGCCTTCAAACTCATCCAGGAACTGCAGCATCTGGTCATCAACTGAGTAAATCTCCCCAGCAACGTGGTGTCCTGTCCCCGGGATGTTCAGCATGTAAGGAATGTTGTATTTTCCTGCAATCACCAGCGGGTACTTCTCCACTGTGCGGCCCCTTCCTTGGAATTTCGCTAGCCCCTTGGCTGTGTTGATCATGTACTGGTAGTTGGGCTGGCCCTTCTTCAGCGTGCCGTAGACAAAGACACGAGCCATTGTACCTGCAAAAGCTGAAAGACAAAGGCGTGTGTTACCCATGTGGCTGCTTTGGCCAACATCATGGAGAACCGCGGCCACGCCAAAACACATTGTGCGCACAAGGCCCTTCAGGCATGTGCAAAAGTGGTCGTGTAGTCCTACACCTCCTTTAAATATCACTCTAAATTCAAATATCTCTCTAAACTTTTCAGACAAAAACTGTAACAGTGAAAAACAGACACCAGGACAAAGTCACCCTTACAGTTCTTTGCTGTAATCAGATTACATCCCGTGGTTTCTCTAAGGAACTCCCCAGCATCAGCCAGTACAACCCTGAGCCTTGGGAAAAAGCTCAAAACCTCTTTTTATTTTTATTTCTTTCTCACCATGATGGGAACCATGCTGCAGTAAGTGTGATGGCATGCTCAGTGACACCCCAAAAGCAACCCATGGAGCCATCCCTGTAATAGAAATGTGCTGCACTTCGCACATCCTTTATGGGGGGAAAAAAACCCAAACTTAAAAAAATCATGGTTCAGCTCAGCTACACAGACACCTTCCTGTGCTGCTCCACTGCATTCATGGTTTAAGTAGCCGAGGTCAAGCCCAGTTACTAAAACTTGCAGGAGGGAAGCCACAGTTAGTTTGGTTTCCCTTGGTGGGGTGGGAGGGTTGTTTTTTAAAGCCTGAACTGACAGACTTGGTCCCACAGTAACCTGGGACAACCAGCATTGTTGCCTCCGCGTGCGGTCAGAGCACCCAGAGGAAGTGCCTGCTTCCCTCCCTCTTCTGCCCACAAGGCTCTCCTTTTGCCATGGCCACAGTCAGTATTTGAGAAACAACATTTTACTCAGTGACAGAAGAGCCTGGTGGCAGTTTGGAAGTGTCTTCTCGTTTCACGGTAAAATAAAGCACAGGGACATTCATTATCCAAAAGCAAATTAACGTATTCAAACTGCTGGCCCTGTTGCGCTGCAGCTGCACGCACTCGAGGGTATTTTTTTCAAAAAACAGTCTTAAAAAAAAAAGGGGAGGAAAGAAAAGCAAGCAGCACGGTGCTCGGAGCTGCAGCAAGCTAACTACGTACAAACTGGGCCATCACCGAGACGAACAGAGGAGCTGTCTGTCACAAAGAGGGATGAAAAGCCTTTTACGTCAGACCTTACAAGCACAATGAGGCGCGCTGGCGCAACAGCGGGGCGAGTGGAACCTGGCCTTGAGTCATTTCATGGACACGCTGAAGGATTTTCGGTCACCCCAGCGCCGAAGTCCTGCTTGCTGACGGACTGACAAATGCTGCAAAGCCAAGCTGCAGCTCCGGGGAGAGAAGCGGGGTGGCCTGTGGCACCCACATCCCACGCGAGTGGGTGCCCTCTGAAAGGACACGTCTGTCCTGCTCCTTCAGGGGAGGGGATTGACGATGGCTCTCAGCGCTGCTGCTGAACTCGAGGTGACAAACCTCATGTACAGAACTGGTAAGGCCAGACACTGCAGTTCTCACAAGCACT